TGTGCCACTTCGGAGCAAGGGCTGGAACAGCTGAATGGCCATACATACTCTGTTAGCATTTAAACAATGTTTAGATTGGTATTGTATTCTTATCAACTCCGTCTTCTTTTTTTTTTTCGAGACAGAGTCTCACTCTGTTGCCCTGGCTAGATTGAGTGCCGTGGCGTCAGCCTAGCTCACAGCAACCTCAAACTCCTGGGCTCAAGTGATCCTACTGCCTCAGCCTCCCGAGTAGCTGGGATTACAGGCATGTGCCACCATGCCCGGCTAATTTTTTCTATATATTTTTAGTTGTCTGATTAATTTCTTTCTATTTTTAGTAGAGACGGGGTCTCGCTCTTGCTCAGGCTGGTCTCGAACTCCTGAGCTCAAACAATCCACCCGCCTCGGCCTCCCAGAGTGCTAGGATTACAGGCGTGAGCCACCGCGCCCAGCCCAACTCCCTCTTCTTGATCTCAGAATAATTCCCTCATGTTTAACACTCCCAGCCCAGCATCATCAATCACTTAAAATGCATAAATAAAACCACAATGTTGGCAGTGGGTACCTTTAGGTGGTGATATTTAAGGCTAATAATCACCTACCCTGGACCAGGTAATATACTAAACATTATGAATATTAAAACTATTATTTTTATTACAAGAGGTCCTTTATGTATCTAATAGCACAGGACCAGGATTTTTATATCTATTCTCTCAAATCCTCATAGCAACCTTGCAAGGCAGGAATTTTTATCTCTATTTTCCAAATTTGAAAACCAAGAAGACGCAAGAGATTCTGAAGCCTGCCCAAGGTGATACAATAGAAACTGGTGGAGCTATGATTGAAATCCTGGTCTGCTGACTCTTGTATATGGTCTGCTCTAGCCCTGGGAAGGATCTGGACACGTCCCTCATATTACTGCCACAGCCTAACTGTATCCTCCCCTCTAGTCTCAGCTCATTCTAACCTCTTGTTGTACATAAATATTTTATGACTCTTGCATAGTAGGCATGGTACTACGGTTGCAAACCTCAGAACTTCCCATGTCAGGGTAATAGGATATCCACTACGATGCCTCTTCCACACACAGTGATCTTCCTAAAAGACAAAACTGATATAAAGTCATTTTCTACCTTCAAATCCTTCAGTGGTGCCTAATCACTTTCAGGATAAAGCTTTAACTCCAGAACTCTCAAAGCCTTTCACAACCTGTTCTTGACCAACTTTTTGAAGCCTTATTTCCCACACACTCCCCAAACATGCTTTGTACCCCTGCCACACAGGCATCTTCAGGATGTAGCCATGCTCTGTTTCTAGGCCACAGCACGTAGTTTCCTGTGTGAAAAACCTTTTAAACCCACATCTACCCAGCTAATAACTACTGATTCTTCAAGATTCTAGTTAGGTGTGAACTTCTCTAGAAAACCACTACTTATATTCCCCATGTAACATCAGAGACCCTTTTAGGAGATCCCACAAGACCCTCAATCACAGCCCTTATTGTACTGTATTCTAACTGCTGGTTTAATTGCTTCTGGTCGTACCAGACTGGAGGATCTTTAAGTTTCCTGTGTAGTCATGCTGGACATGTCACATGAATGATAAGTCAACTTTTGTTCTATTAAGCCACTTAAGTCTTGAGGTTTTTGTTAGTGTAGCCTAATCCAAGCTATCCATACCAATATACCAGATCTCTCAGTAAGGGAGTCTCTCATATAAATAACTTTATTTATAGATTTTGTAACAAACATTTTGTTTGCACAAAGAATTTTCTTTGTATTCATCTTGGTTCAAAGCTATTTTCAGGCTGGGTGAGGTGGCTCACGCCTATAAGCCTACCACTTTGGGAGGTTGAGGCTGGAGGATACTTGAGGCCAAGAGTTTAAGACCAGCCTGGGCAATATAGAGACCCTGTCTACAAAAAATAAAAAAATTAGCTGGGCATGATGGTGCACATCTGTAGTTCCAGCTACTCGGGAGGCTGAGGCAGGAGGATCGCTTGAGCTCAGGAGTTTGAGGTTGCAGTGAGCTATGATGATGCCACTGCACTCTAGCCAGGGTAACAGAGTGAGATCCTGTCTCAAAAACAAAAAAAAAGCTATTTTCAATTTAAATATATTTGCCAAGTACCTACTTTGTACAAAACACTGTGCTAGATGATGAAAAAGTCCACGTCTTGAAAAAGCTTCAGTCTTATGTTGTAGGGGGATTAAGGCAATTATAGCAAAAAAGCAGACTCTAATGTTATAGTGGTTTAAAGCAGAGAGACATCTAGATGGGGAGAAAAGTATAGAAAAATTTGACAAAGGAAGTTCCAAATCATATTTGTTTTTGAGACAGGATCTCACTGTGTTGCCCTGGCTAGAGTACAGTGGCATTATCATAGCTCACTCCAACCTCAAACTCCTGGGCTCAAGCGATCCTCCTGCCTCAGCCTCCCGAGTAGCTGGGACTACAGATGTGGCCCTGAAACATGGGTAAGAACAATAACTAGAGATTCAAAGGGGTCATTTAAGATAGAAAAAGCCAACACGAGCAAAGATATGGAGCACAAACAGCAAAGAAAAAAGAGCAAATAGTTCCACTGACCTAGAAAACATAATAAAACCTAAGGGAATGGCAAGAAATTAGTTTGCCCATACTGCCCATGCCAGGCTGGCCTGTGCCTAACTCAACAGGCAGTGGGGAGCCATTGCAAGTCTTGGCCAGAGAAGTGACATACCTGGAAGTGATTGTAGCACACACAATAGACGGGAGGAAAGAAAAATGTTAGAGGGTTTCTGTGGTAATTCACAGGAATGGTATCAATGGCCCGAAATTAGTACAATGACAGTTGTAGTGGAAAAAAGTAGATGCCAGAAATGGTATGGAGGTAGGATCAGCAAGACCTGGCAACCAACTGAACACAGGGAGAAAAGAAGAAAGGCAAGAATGAACATGAAGTGCAGATCCTGGGTAGTTAAGAGAATTGCTATTCCAAATAGCTGAGGTTAATCAAAAAAGCGACAATGTCAAATCAAGTGTTACTGTACTTATTTTCTGATGGTTAGCTAGCTCCAGCTTCCTTTGAAATAAATACCACTACCTGTTTATCCTTTGCTCCATCCAGGACAAAGGTACTTCTTCGATTGTTGCCATCAACCTACTTTTAGCATAGCCTCATCTGCCATTTTTTCCAATATGAAACTCCCTGGAACCACCCATGAGCATTTCAGGTTGTCCTGTGCCTCTACCATCTTTACTTTCTCATCTGCTCATTTCTCCTTCCTCTTCAGGCGACCAGGCCTACCCACTCTTCATGGCTCAACTCAGCTCCCCTGTGAAACCTTCCTCAGACACATGGATCTCTCCTTTTCCTGATTTCTCATAGCACCTACTGTTTTAGAATTCTGGAGGCCATATCATTAGTTACCACTGTCATGTGTGTGCTTTATTCCCACAACTATATTATAGGCCCATCAGAACAAGTTTCATATCTTAAATGTTTTTGAGTTCCTCCTCAGTCAACGCCTTGCACAAAATATGTACTCAGGAGACACGTTATTGATTGATCCAAAGTCAGTTAGTCTCTAAGAATATGAATGTCTTATTTCATCATTAATAATTTACTTTTATTAAACCATGGTTAGATATTTAGACATGTGAAATGGAGAGATTCACAACTTAATACTTCAAAATATCCTTAAGACTCTCTACTCTTGGGAGCTGTTGCCTAAGAGATTATTTGAAAATACTACTTGGTCATAAGTTTTTGCACCAGCTTCCTTTTAACCCTCTGACTGTTAACGTAAAAGTACACCAAACAGTTCAGTGATCATCACTCCAAAATGATTTTTCTTTTTTGAGACAGGGTCTCCCTCTGTTACCAGGGCTACAGTGGAGTGGCCTTGTCATGGCACACAGCAACCTCAAACTCCTGGGCTCAAGCGATCCTCCTGCCTGAGCTTCCCAAGTAGCTGAGACTACAGGCATGTGCCAACATGCCCAGCTAATCTTTCTATTTTTTCTAGAGATAAGGTCTGGCTATGTTGCTCAGGTTAGTCTTGAACTCCTGGCCTCAAGCAACCTCCAGCCTCAGCCTCAACCTCCCAAAGTGCTGAGATTACAGGGTTGAGCCACGACGCCCAGCCCCAAAATGATTCTTAGAAACACCCTAATTTGTCATGAGAACTGTTTTACTTTCAGTAACCTAGTGGTTTTTTTCTACCTTCATGTCCAACTATCTATAGTATAGACAATTCAAAATACGTCCACGAAAAGTTGGTATATTTTACTTTCTGGAATAACACCTGCCTTCATTAGTCTCTCCCTCAATTAACTGTAATGATTCAGTTCTCACGTTTCACTCCCTCCCGATATATGAGAGAAACACAAACAAAAATGAGGTTTATTGAGGAATCATAAAAATGGGCATTGTTGTAAAAAGGAATCCAAAATATTCATGAGACACTCTCCTAACCAAACCTGCTCTCCTAAGATATTTCCTCTTGCGAGCAAAATCACGGAGGAGACAATGGGAAAAAGTGTCAGAAGGAAAGAAAGCAAGAAAGGCATACTTTGCCAATCAAATTGACCCTGGTACCTCTGAACATCTGGCCCCAAATAGAGCAGTAAGCAATGACAACCGCGACCCATACGCTGCTGATTCGGGCTCAGGCTTTCCCTGTACTTCTCCTTCCTCTTGCCACAGCGAGGCTCGAATGACAGTGTCCTTGCTTTGAGCCCAGGTACACAGAAATGCGGGGTCTCCCTGGGAGATGACCTCAGACCGCTCGGCCCGCGTCCGGCTCGCCTTTCCCCAAGGCCTGGCAGCCCCCACCCAGTCGAGGTCATCAGGGATTGGGCTCCCAGCCCGTGGGGCAACTGGGCCGTACCCCGACCCCTCCTTCCCCAACACTAGCGCAGGCTTCGCGCCCCGCCCGGCCTGGGGCAGCGGGGGAGGGGCGGGGCAGGGCAACGCGGCGACCGTTAGCCGCGGTCCGCCGTCACGCCCCAAAGCGCACCAGGCAGGCCCTTACCGCAGCGGAGAGGGAGGCAGGGGAGAGGCGGCGCCCCGCCCCACGCGGGCGGGAAGGCGGAGGCGGCGGCGCAGGCGGCGGCGGCAGCCGCGGGGGACCCCGGCGGGCGCCCACAACGCGGTGGGCTGCATGGGCGCCGCCATAGTGGGGACGCAGCGGCGGGCGGAGCGCGCGGCCACGACCAGGTCGGGCGTCCGCGGCCAATGGGCGCGCGGGAGCCGGGCGGGGCGCCGGGCTGGCCAATACGGAGCTGCGCTGCCCGAGTGGGCGGGCGCGCGCCGGAGCTGCCCAGTAGGCACGAGAGCCGCGGAGTTCCCCGGGCCGCCCATCCCAGGGACCCCGGCTGAGGAAAGCGAGGGGGCGTGCGGCTCCCTCGGGCTGAGCGGGCCCTTCCTGCCTCGCGTCAGCCCCCTCCAGGGTACACCCGGCCGTCTGAAGGAATCTTCCTTCCCCGGCCTCGCGGCCCAGAGGGCGCGCGGTCCGCTTGGGCCGCCCTGAGGACCAGCCCCTTGAAGAGCCTGTTTCCTTGCCTGTGCGCGGAGCTCAAAGTGCAGGGTGGTTACGGTCATTCCACGCCGAGGGACACCTCATCTCGCCCTCTGTGTTGTGAGCGCCGCCAGTCCACTCCGTCAGGCCCAAGGCTTTGGACCTCCGTGCCCAATCCTGTGGGGTAAGGCCACGGTGGTCCAGGCTGCTCTTGTGCATTTTCTTGAGAGCCTCGTAGAAAGTATTTAGTCTGGGCACATGGGCATCCAGCCCCACATGCCCTTTGCAGCTGTCTCCCACCCCACTCTCTCATTCCCACAGCTAAGCCCTGGCATCATCTGCCTGGGGCACAATTTAAAACTTAATTCCTCAGAGGGGTCAGGGGAGACTTTAAACTGTAATCCTAGGATGCCGGCACAATGAGCCTACCTTGCTAAAGGCAGGCAGCTTGTCTTTTGTGGCAAAAACGCTTCTGGGAGGAGCCTGGCTGGCGGGTCTTTCTGCCCGGGGTCAGTCTTCTAAGGCCCGGACATGACCGCAAAGGCAGCCAGTGAGGGAGAAAACAGGCGGGTTCCATGTGATAGGGGAAAAGGCCCGTCCCCTCTGAGTTTCGGTTTCCTCAGAGTTATCGCGTTGGCCAAATAAAAAATGCAAAGTTTCTAGAAAAATGCTCAGCTGTTAAGAACTCTGCTGGAATTAGACCAGGCACCCAGCCCTGCAGCAGGGTTGGGGACACTGGGGTCAGTGAGAGAGGCAGGGAGGTCTGAGACTCTGTGAAGAAAGAAAGGCTGGGGAAGTGCTCCAAAGATGTGTGCTCCCTAAGGCCTGACTCTGCCCAGCCTCCCCTGGGAATGTGTGTGCAGGGCAAAAAAGTCAACCTTCCTTTCTTGGCCCCAGGAGGGAATTGGCATAGAAAAGCATGTTTGAAAACTACTGTTCCTCCCTTTCCCCACAATCAGACACTAAGTAGCAACCACCTCCTAACCCCAAGGGACACAAGGAAGTACTGAGAGTAGCTGAGCTGACCCAAGCCTCTCCTGCACCTGGACACAGCCATGCCATAGAGTACCTAGCTGTCCAGGGGCCAGCTGGAACAGCTCTGCTGCACCCAAGTCCTGTTATTCACTGTCCCCTCCCTGCCCTGCAGCTCCCCATCTTTGTCCACTTCAACCTCAGGGACCCACGAGGTGAAGGGAACTGGGTCTTCCTCCAGGGAAGCTTCTCACCAACTACAGATAGCTCAGAGCAGCTTCAGGACCCTACTGGGGGCTGAGTTCCTTGCTCTTCAAGCACCTAAAATGCACTCCCCTCCTTCAAACTGGTTCCAAAATTTGTGTAGAACACAGATGCTGTAATGGACGTAGGCCAGTCAATGAAGATATATCAAGCAAGAGATCAGACTATTGAGAGGACTGGGCCGTGTGGTGCTTCCTTGATTACCTCCTCCTGCCCATCTCCCAGGCAGGGGATACAATGCAGAGGGGCTCATAGCCAAAAGTGTCCTTGCTCCCGTGTCCCACCATGCTTGGCCCAATACAGAGCTTCACAAGGAAGGGACCCATTTCTCTGGAACAGCTTCCTAGATCCTGCCTTACTGATTTTTATAATACATGGCCCTGTCCCAGAGCCTATGACTCTAGATACACCCCCAACATGACCCTGGGCCATTTGGGCTCCTTGGGGCAGAGACAGCCAATCCTCTGCACAACATATTTTATTGCTAAGGACAAGGTGATGCACCGGTTTTCAAAATAATTTGGTTTATAGCGTTCATACGTAACAAAAAAGGGGGAAGTAGTATAAATCTGATTTTTGTATACACAGGGTATAGGTGTGAAGCCCTGCAGTCGTGGGCTCAGGCAAACAAATTCATGAGGAGCAAAAACCTGTTTAACCCCTTCAGTGTTGCCCTCTAGTCCCACCCCCACCCCTAAATCAGCTCCCTCCCACCCCCAGTGGGCCTCCAGTGGCCCCAGTTACTTCAACCTAACCCTCCCAGCCCCTGCATGATTGCAATATTCTGTTGATAGAATCACCCACCAGGCTCTGCCTGTTTCCATCATTAAAATCCCCCCTTCAGGGTAATCCCCACCCACACCCACTGATACTGTGCCACAGGGGCTCTGTGCCTAGTGTTGTGGGCACACACACCCATGTTATCCCTATGTTCTCCTTCAAGGGAAGACACAGAAGTGGCATCAACTCTTAGCATCTCAATACTGCAGCTTTGCCAGCACTCTCTTGAGGCTGTTCTGGCCCGGACAGATGCCACACTCATCTCCAGCCAACCCCTAGGGGCCCTTACTCAGCTCGGCTGAGGGCAGAATTTCACATTTTGTTTGCCCTACATAGGCAAGGAAGAAAGTAAAGGCCAGGGGCTGGCAGAAGCTGGTCCAGACCAAACATACACACACACACACACACACACACACACACACACACACACACACACACACACATAAATACAAAAGTGGGCATGGGGTCAGGCACCAGCACCTCTGCCTAGTTGGTGCGGGCGACTGTTAGGAAGCTAAGTCCTAGGCCAGGAACAGGGCAATCAGTCCAGCCAGCACAGTGGACCCCTTTATGGACTGGGGTCAGTGCAGCCACAGGATTCCAGTGCTCAGCCCCTCAGCTGGGAGATCAGCAGCTGCTGCCACGTGTCCAAAAACAGCTTGTCCTTTCACTATAGTGGAATGCCATGAGGGTGGGGTGAGAAGATGATGGCGTTGGTTATTTCATTCCTTTTCTTTTTACAACTTCACTTTTAGAGACTTCAGAGTTCCAAGTGTCTGCTGTGCTGTGGAACCCCAGAGTGCTCTTGCCTTGATGGCTGGGAATCTCTTGGACCCTGGAAGCACCTACTCCATGATGGCCCGGTATAGTGCAGGCTCAATATAATCTTCCCGGTATCTTGAGTTGATAACTCGTTGCCGTTTCTTTTCTTGCTTAACTTCTTTCTCTGTGAAAATCTCGTTGAAGCGCATGTCTGAGGCTACCGACTATAGAAGAATAAGCAAGCCAAACAATCACTTTATGGACAACTACCCCAAGAAAAACACAGGGACAGATCCTTGCCTTGTTCCCTCCCTCCCAGACAGGAACCAAGGGCACAAGAAAACAAACACTTACCAGTCTAGACTTGACTCTCTTGGGAAGCTCTTCATCCAGCGTATACACATCGTCTCTCTTAACTACAAGCTGTGAGCCATCCTCAAACTCCACCTATCAAGGAAACAAAAGCCTTTTGGTTAGGAAATCCCTGACTCTCTCCCTGGTCCACCATGTGCAGTGGCAATTCGTGCACCCAAAGAAAGGAATTAGAACCCTGAAGTATGGGCTACCATGTTTGAAGCCACACTTAGCAAGCTGGACACAGGCAGACCCCTAGCTCTAAAAGGGTTACCAACTCATTAGTTCTCCCAAGAGATGACTGCCTCTGGCCCAACAGGAAGCAATGATTTAATTACATGCCCCACTCTTCCCAGCAAGAACCTTTGGCTACCTGGTACATTTGGATGGGGTGGGAGGCCACAAACTTGGCTCCATAGACTTGGCCGTCTGTCCATCTCACTTGGACCACTTCCCCTTCAGCAGGAGGACCCAATTGGAGACAGTCCTGGCTCTGAGGAAATAGGGAGGAAGGAGAGTGAAAGAAGGTCCATTTGAGCACAATGGTAACTGCCATCTACTGAGGAAAGAATGAACCAGGACAAATTCCTGCTCCAATACTCCAAGCAAGGCAGCTCTCTCTGGGCTGAAAGATGCAATAAAGATGTGCTTGCTAAGTCAAAATCTGCCCCATATCTCCATCCCCTGATGCTTCTAGGTGACAAAAAAGAATGGCTATAATAATTTAGTAAACATAGAAGACAGGTGCCATATCAACAGTCCTTCTTGCACTCCCTCAACTCTTCCTCTAAGGGCTGCCCAGAACTCTGCCATGTTGAAATGCTACAACTGTACTCAAAATATGTTCTTAATAGAAAAGGCACGAAAAGAAAGGATCACCCACCATGGGACTTGGCAAAGTATTTTAGAAGTTCTACTCCTTCCAGAAGTAGGCTAGATATCCTAAGGTGAGTCCTCACCATATTCCCAGCAAAGGGCTTGGTATACAGTGGGAGGTCAATGTACATGTATGTGGGTTGAATGAAAGGTCTGATGGGTAGACCTGGGAGAAGGTCCTTAGAGACATGGTTAAAAAGTACCCATGCGGTGGGGGGCAGTCAGTCTAAAAAAGGATGTGGATGTTAACAACTGCTCTTGCCAATCACAGTACATGACAAGAGTTAGAAAAGGTCTGTCCTGTCCTGCCAACTGCCAGTTCATTTATTGAACAGAAACAGTTTATACTGTATTGACAATTCATTTACTGAGTAGGTAATAAATATATTTTGTATCAATCTAACAATTAAGCAGAAACTACAGCTGCTTGCCCCCGAAATCTGCAGTGGAAGTTTTAGCTAGTCAAATTTATGTGACCTTTAATAAATCACTTAAGTTCTCTGCAACTCATTTCTACCTCTTATAACAGTAGTTCTCCAAGTGTAGTCCACAAACCTCTGAGGGGTTCCTGAGGCACTTTCAGGGAGTGTGTGAGGCCATGACTATTTTCTTTTTTTTTTTTGAGACAGAGTCTCACTCTGTTGCCCAGGCTAGAGTGCCGTGGCG